TTCTCTCTGTCTTTTCAGTTCCCTTGTCCTGCACTGACCCACGCTGCATCTCTGTGTTGTCCACTCTGCTGCCTGTCTCCTCATCCACAGCTTCCATTCAACATTCAACCCCAAAAATAAGAAACTGATATTTACAATCCATTTTGTTTTACTTCTAAATGTCATTCCTTTCAAGGTATGTGCATTGCTATTACAGGCAAGTTTTAATGCATTAGGGTTGGGCAATGCACATTTATACGGTCATATACGAGTTATGGTGAAAATGCATGATCGTTTTTATTTGTAGTACAGCAATAGAACTAATGAACAGATAGAGAACAGATAGAGAACAGAATAGGGTTGTCATCAGTTTGCGGGTTGAAAATTGGGCTGTATGTGAAAGCCAGATCCTATCAAACCTCTGAAGCAAAGCAGGGCAGGGCCTGGTTAGTAATGTGATGGGAGACCTCTGGGAACACCAGGTGCACCGGGGTGGGCGGCTACTATACCAAATATTTGGTATAGTAGCCGCCAGAATGCGTCTGGGGTGGGAATGAATAGTTGGTGGTGGTCAGAGAGTCCAATGGCACATACTGGTTGCCTCGCTTCTGAAGAAACCAGTATGTGCCCCAGGGCATCTGTGGCTACAGTTGTAGCTTATCACAACTGTGTATGAAGTGAATTAATGATTACTAGTGAAGCTTCTTTGAATGTCCAAAGAAGTGACATAGAAAGTCCATGCATTATTATTAATACTATTATTGTTACTACAAATTATTTCTACAAATTGTCTATATTTTTCTAACTTGTTCTCCATAGCAACCAAATAAAGAACTTTTACAACCAGGGCAGATTAAACTAATTGATACATAAAGTATACCATGTGCTAGTTTTACCAGAGTAATATGAAGTTATACTATTGTGCTCACCTCTGCTTTAAGCCTGAAGCTAGCTTTATTGTTCATTGTAAGCAGGTATAATGCATTTTCTCAGAGACGCTCTAGTGATTGACAACACAGCCCTGAGCAGAAATGAGATAAGCTACAGCTATAGTGGTTTCATGCACTCCTGCAAAACTCCGGCAGCAAAGAAGGACCGAAGGCTGGTGCAGAAATGAAGCGGAGGACGGTGATTGTGTGAGAGTGACAGAGCAGGGGAGAGGATTTATTGGAGAGTGTGTGTGTATGTGGTGTTTATGTGTGTGTGCTCTGACCCCTCTCTGCACACTGCACTATTACACACCAGGCCCTCCATCACTCCTCAGCCCTCAGTCCGCACACATCTCCAGCCGTTGCTCTTCTGTCACTCACTGTGTTCCCACACGGGCCCCGACAAGTACCGCTCACTGCTGAGGCCTGTCACTGCATGCTTTTACTCAAGGCTACAGGACACAATTTGTCCTAAACTATTATGTGTCGAGCTATGTTTGTATGTGAGTAAATATTGAGCTTAAAATACAGACACACTATTTAAATATTATTAGGACGATATCTGATACAATTTTAAACTGGTTGGAAAGAGAAATCCATAACACCAGGAATTCTGAAACTACCAGAATTCCCAGAGCAGTAATATGGACCGCTCTCATTCAAATTAATGGAAGTCTACAGTTTTTAGGTCTTCACTAGTGTTAATTGGTAGTGGGGAAATTCTATGATAACTAACACTTGCTCCAAGCTGAGATTGCCAGTCAAGAACCAGTCTAGGATCAAGATAATTTCATAAACTAAATGTAGGTACAAAAAATGTCACAAAGTTATGAAGACCAAAAAACGTACATAAGCTGAGTAATTGCACTTTGAAATTGAAAAGCCGTCAAATTGACTGGTTCTAGTGTTAATCATTCGGATGAAGTCAGGTAAAATTGAGCCATCGGATTTGAGTTGTTTTTACACAATCCCAGTGTTTGCACAGGAAATAATTCAAAATATAAGTGATCATTTTACATAACTTTGTGGCTCATTTCGCCCCAAACAGAGCAGACATGTTGCCACTTAAGGTTTCTTAAGCTCGTCCATGGAGGATCTCCCACCAAAATAACAGTAGTACATAATTCATTCCATGCTTAAATGTGTTTACCCAATTGAATTCCCCAAAAATAAATACACTGTAAGATGGTAATGCACCTCGCTCACTCCCAACAGTGAATAGAAGGAAATGGTTCGGTATATAACTCCAGATAAGGACCTTCGCCTCACTACTGTCTGTAATCCGTGTCTTACAATGTCAGTACAATGGAAACGCATCAGTCAGGAGATAAAGACAGTAATGGACAAGGTGAACCTAGGCCTGTAGTAATCTCAACATTCAACATGCTTAGTCCAGAGAGGAGAGAGCAGCTGTCAGTCACACTGTTGCTAAGGGCGATCAGTGGTCTCAGAGCATCCAGACCATTAATAAAACAGGAAATAAACAGGAGTCCGCCGCAGGCCCGAAGCTACGACAACAGACCTGAAGCCACGGCAACAGGAACGAAGCAATATGATCTATTGTGAGGCCCAAATTAAAAACTGTCATCCAAGCAAACAGAAACCAACAGTTACAGTACAAAAAAATACTTTAGTAAATATAAAAACGTTCAAGCTTGTATTATGTTCTTGAAAAACATGCATTTTTGTTCAATAATGGACGGAAAATGTATCTATTCATATGTATCTGTTTGAGAAAGTTGGCATTGCCTGTGTTACCCTCTGTAGAAGAGTTTCACACTGGTGATAACCAAAACATGTAAAAGCAGAATGCAGCTGCTAGCCGAATGCACTGAATCATAATTCACTTAGAAGCATGTCCAACCACTTCAGTATGATCCACTTGGACTTTGGAAAGACGTTCTGCAGCTGTCTTACTATTTCATATCCTCATCTGCAAATATTATGAAATTAGCAAACCGGAATTTCAAATGTAAGGTTTAAAGTAGACATGTTTGAGTAAATGTAAAATGTAAAAATAGTACAGATTCAATGAATGAATACTTAAGTACACCTCTATTTCTATTAGAATGTGCATATGTTGACACACACATACAAACACGCACACAGGCGTCGGACTGGGGGGGTAAAGGGTACCGAGTACCCAGGGCCCAAGGCAGGGAGGGGCCCTCTAAAGTGTGTCTTTATATGTATATGTATTACGCATTAACGTAGTGCTATCCCATCGAGTGTGTTTGTACCCGGGGCCCAGAATTTGGTGCTACCCCCCTGAACACGCATACGCACACACACACACGCACCCATGCAGAGGCAATCACATTACGCTTTGTCTGGGTAAAAAGGAACATGTATGGATGAAGTCAATACATCAGAAAGGTCAGCATGAATAATAAATAGACAAATTAAAAATATATAGTATGCACGGTATCTGCATGATCGTATCATAGTTATAAGCAGGTGAATGTATTTCTTAATGCTCTGCTATGGAAGTCAAAAGCTTTTCAAATGTTCTGAAGTTGGTGCATGTACACAGGAGAGTTATGAGCTGCAGCAATGATCAATAGGAGAATAAAGGGCCCTAACACATGGCGCACATTATTACACAGTGTTATGTGAAAGCCCATAGAAACTCTGCAGTGCTCAAGGTTAAAACAGCCCGCTCATTACAAATCTGCGGCACTGCACTAAACGCACTGGGATCCTGAGACGTAATGTTAAAGGTTTGACAAGTGAGACATACTACAGCAATTCACAACAGCCTTGCATCATACATGACACATTCTCAGCAGTAATGTTTGTACCGAGGGCTCTGCTATAAATGACCAGAGTTTGGACATCGACAGAGACGTTTATGTGCAATGAATTTACTCAGTAATCATAAAACCATCACTTTACACAATTCTTTGTTGTACGGATTGAAAGTAGACTTCAAAGATAATTGCCCTTTGCAGATCTGATCTAAATGTTTTCTCCTGATACAAATGTTAATTTAAAAAGGATAATTACAGCGCTTGGTGTAAGCCATTACTTTTTTCTTTGAACCCTGCGGCCCATATCGATACAGTATGTGCCCAATGTACGTGTGTTTTTATCTTGCGATAGGGTCCTCTGGTTTAAATTAATTATTTAATACTTGCTATTGTTTAAGATAATCCTTTATTCGTCCCACAGTGGGGAAATTTTAGTTTAGATGAAAACACATTTACACATATACTGTATGTGTGAATGTGTATATGCGCTCCTTAAGGGCAAAGTGAAGTGTCTTGCCCAAGAAAACAGCGACAGCACACATCAGTGGGAGTTGGTGGAGAAGGTCTTGCAGTGGGCTCCATCCAGTTTTAGTATGGGAAGCATGATTATTGTTAAAATAGACTGGATTTACCAAGTCAAAAGTTTGATAAAACATATCATTAAATCACGTGTCCAGATGACATTTTCACCTTTCGGCTTTGTGTTGCTCCATCAGCTGTTGTTTAAGAGTTACATTACAACATGACAACCTCAGCCTTACATTCAAGTACAGCCTATATGTGGACAAAATCTACTTTCTATTCAAATGTAGATGGTGTGGTTTGTATACAGGTGCGCTTAATAGTCCAGCAAGTACTGTAATTTGTGACATAACAGGAATCTTACTCATAAAGAAGCTCAAATGATACAAACAGATAAGGCCGTCATAAGCCATATGAAGAATTCACAAAGTATAAATGAGCCAAACAAAAGCTGATGTAGTGCTGTGAGTCGTGGAAGAATTGCATCAAATTGCAGACAGTAAATCTGCTCTAAGATGTTCATAGTCAGTAAACTAAACGATTATCTAAAAGGGGCCATATTTTGTCATTTGTTTGAAGAAGTCTATTTGTTCAAACAGTCTGGAATCAAGTGGACTTGTATAGCAAAATGGGCAATTTGCAACAACAAAGACATACTTCAAACGCAAGGCAATTTTCTATCACAAAGCCTACTCAAACAAAATAGATTTCCTGAAATACTTATTATTCCTGATGCGAGATTCAAAAAGTAAATCTCTAAGTCTTTCAAGTGTGTCAGATTTGCCAGAATGGATCCTATACCTGTTGTATTGTGTCTTACCGTTGTAGGAGAGGCGAGGCTTGCTTAGACACATGATGAAGTGAACCTCCATTTCGTTGGACGCCACAGACTTAGAACAGACAGGACACTTGAACCCTGAAAAACACAAATATGTCAAGTTAATATGCAAACTATAGAAATGTACTAGCTCAGTGACTGGTGCTACTTGATGTTTTGGTGATATTAAAGTTGGGGTACCTTTTTTTTCTCTCTCTTCATAAATAACACATGGTCCTGACACTACAAGAATAATGTTGTGAAAAAGTTCTTGTTTTCATCTTTCTAGTAAAAATATTCTATTTTTAACAGCCCTGTGTGTCGTTTGTGCTGAGAGCTGATTGGTTGGATGAGGGTGGTCTACTCTTTTCCACTTTTCTACCTCAAAAAGCTGATCTCAAGATGTGACAGCAACCAAAAATATGCCAAAACTAAAAATTGTTTTGAGAGCAAGGATACATGGAGTCACATTTTGTGCGGTTTATAAAGGATGTACCCCAGCTTTAATTGTTTTTAGGCCTTATCTGTGTACTTTTTCTGTTGACTGAATAGGACAGATGGCAAATAATGCAATGGGGAATTTGCATATGAAAGTAAATAATCTGCAACATAGCATTGTCATAATTTTTTTGTAGAATTTGCTTCAGACAGTTGAAATAGTCCCCATTGAAAATTACAACGTATAGAAACACAAGTGCCATAGAAGAACCAACAAAACAATAAGATGCAGTGTGTGGGAGGTGTAACTGCAGAATCTCCAGTAACTATATTTGCGCTCCCAACACAATTATGTACACCTTTTATAGTGTCTCTTTTGAAGACTGACTGGTTATACAAAAAGAAACTGTTTCTCCAAACCGTCATGTTCAGCATGTTTGGAAGCACACACAAGCCATTTCTTTGTTCAAGGTTGGGAAAGCACACAAACACACAATCAAATTAAGCATTCAGCCACATGAGACGTATTAGGCTCATCTCACAGCTCAAAACAGACTGGATGAACTCTTGTAAACAGCAACGGACTTAAAGGGGACGTATGGTTCCCTCGTCAGACGTGGAGTTGTTTTGGGATCAATCCACGCTGGTATCAGAAACTTCTGGCACAAACATGTAACTCTGCTCCTTCTGTCTAAAAGCTCCTGTCTCAGTCCTGTAACAGTGAGATGTCATTGCACCACCTTTAAAACAAAAGTATTGTCCACAATTTCTTTAGGTAAGATTGTGTTCTTTATAATGGCATGGCTATGTTTGCTGCTGGTAGTTTTCAAATTTGGAAATAAAACAAACAATTGTACATCTCCCTCAAGTGGTTGCACACCGATTGCCTTTTCTATCCTTGAGACTTGTTTCAGCATATATTTTTATTCTAAAACTCGAAATGACAAAATAAAAAGTATCATTATCATTTGCAATTCCAAAAACAATGCATAATTCGTCTGCCTTAAACGATCAGACTCTGAACTCTCGAGACAAGGCTTATGCTTTGTCTGATGCCATTTCACATTATAGAGAGATGTTTTTATTCTGTAAGAAACTCATCATGTTAACTCAGATTTACTCTTTTGTAATTCTTCAGTCAGTTAAAATAAAACAGAGCCTGGCTTGACCGGAATCATTGTTTATTTTATCTTGAGAGAAACAGATTGGTTTTGCTCCATTGAGCTGTGATTTCCTCCAGCGCTTTCATGGTGGATCAATTATAGCACCGACATTGTTACTACTTTTGCTCAATGCTTTTGGATTTTTAAGTTGTCCTGCTAATCGCATTTACACGTAAAAAAATATATAAAATGGTAATGTTGAAAATTCTATTTCATTTATTCATGTATTTCAAACCTACTTTGGTATTTCAGCTTACATTGTATGAGAGATATTGAGATACATGAAGCCAGGATAAAAAGGAAACTGTGCTAAAAATATTAAGGGGTTCTTAATTTCTCTTTACAAAACCACGAAATCTGTGTCAGTTAAGTAAGGGATAACGTATATTACGCAGGTCATTATCGGAAAATAAGTACCGACAGGGCGAAGCGCGGAGGGGTCTGCTTCCGCCCTGAAGGTACTTATTTTCCGATAATGACCTGCGTAATATACATAATCCCGCTTATTATACGGCTTTATACCAACATAACACACAACATAAACTTCAGTCCACTTTTAGGAATGCCAAAAGGTTTATTTAAAATAAGAAAGAAAAGAAAATTGTTCCCAAAGGCTTTCCCGTGGCTATGCTAGCAACAGTTAGGCTATCAACTTCTAAACTAGAACTCTCTGGCACTGCATGAAAACTGAACAAAGAATTCTGAACATCAGCGGTGAGTGAAATATAAGCCTAACCTAAATCCATAATTCGATCCTCTGCAAATGTGTCCTAAATGTGCCGGTATCTACTTCCGGGTTTTTCGGGATCGCCTTTTCTCGCAAATTACATCAGTGTTTTTGTCATGAAAACGTAAACGGAAAATTCTAAAAAACGTCCGTGCACTTGTGTTAATAATGTATATGTATAATGTACTCTCCGATTAACATTTAATTGCGTTGATTGATGGCATTTGCGTTTAATGAGCGTAGCTAGCTCCGGAGTGGCTACTTCCGGGTTATTCATGATCGCTTTTTGACGCAGATAAATAGTATTTTTGTCATGAAGACAAGACCAGTAAATTCTGAAAATCTCTGTGCACGTGTGTGAAGAATGTATATGTATAAGCATTCTCCGATTAACATTTGAGTGTGTTGATTGATTGGTATTTGCGTTTATTGAGCGTGGCTAGCGTGGCCGGAACTACTTGCGGAGTTATCCACGCATCTGAAATACAAGCAGAGAGTGCTTTGCCATGGGCAGCGGTCATTATTGTTTTGAGAGGTCCGTTATAGAAAATAATGACCGGTAGAACGTTTTGAAATTACATTCAAATCAATGGAGCTTTCTACTGCTGCTGTGAGGAGCCGTGTAATAACCTGTAAGTAAACGACAGTGGCCACTCTGTAACAGGACAAAACAATACATTTCACACTGGTGACATTTCAAACATTAAAATGTAAAACAAGATGAACAAAGAAAATACAACAATAGAGTGTCTCTTACCACTATAACTGCACTACTACTACATTTTTATTTTTTTTTATTGGTATTGAAGCCTTTTCAGCATCTACAGCTAGTTATGTTAGCTAAGAAACATAGCTACTACTTATTTGTATTGGTGTGTGCTCCCTGTGTGCTCTTACTACTGTCCTGTCTGTGCGCTGCAACATCGAAATTTCCCCACTGTGGGACAAATAAAGGAATTCTTATCTTATCTTATCTTATCTTACCAAACATAAAGTTGAGAAGGATGTCGCGTGAGAGCGAGTGCGCCACAACAGCTTTCAGTTAAAACCAACCAGAGTGAGCTGTGCGTTACTATGGTAACAGTCCAGTATGTTATTATTTGAATCCTAAATACACATGGCACTGGCAAACCCTTGTGACGCAGATAAATAACAGACAACCACTAAAGAAAAATAAAACACAATTTTTTCTTAAAACGAGGATTATTTCTTCACCTGGTTACATTATCAATCCTGTATTTGGTATATTGTTGAGAACTTGCTCACAGCTGTAAAAACCCCAAAATAGAAACTAGTCAGAAAATATGAATATTTTGAGAATGGACAAATAATCAACATTATAATAATCAAAGGCTTGGCGCTTTGCATGTTATGAGTCTATATAGCCCGAGTGCCAGATGTGGACGTCTGAGCCCTCCTCAGTTTAGTATGGACTATAAAATCCTCATGCTGCCTGCCCTGGATGAACCGTCAAGCTCCTTGCTCTACCGCGATCACGATAATATTCATCATAATATATAATAATATATTTGTATTGTGTAAAAGTTAAGCCTGAGAATATATATATATATATATATATATATATATATATATATATATATATATATATATATATATATAAATGAACAATACTATCTACTTGCACTAGTTTCACCTGTATATAGATAGATAGATAGATAGATATAGATACTTTATTGATCCCCCGTAGGAGAAATTCAAGTGTCCAGTAGCAGCAAAAACAAAAAATAAAATCGATCATTCTAAAAAGCTAACAATAGCAATAATAAGCAACAGCCATTAAGGTCACAGCAGCAGAGGTGGAACATGCTGTGGGTGGAGCAGAACAGGTCACAAGGTGGAGTAGCCACTTGGTTCAGACAATTTTCTCTGCTCTAGCCCAAAGTAAAAGGCTAAATGCTTCATTAGCATTTTTCAATAAGTTAGCAATCTTCCAGTGGATTTTTGCCTGATCCGTATGGTTCGGACCATGAATCTTATTACAACCTATGAAAAATATTTTGGACCTTTTTGATGCCCACATTGGTCTGAAACGGGCTTCTGGACACGACTTTTGCTTTGTGCCAAAATGCTTGTGCGGTGCTGCCAAATCTTCTGTGTCACAGAGATGAGTTAATGAAGCTCTTAAACGTGATTAACTGGTAAGTGAAACAAACATGTTCCAGTTTGACTTGTAACGCAGGGCCTGCCACTGTTGGCAAGAGTGAATAGTAGTGGTACAGTAATTTGACAGTTACTCACTACACACAGGCCTTCCACATGGCAGCTGACCCACTTCTCCCTAGTCTGCTATTTTCAGAGCCTCTGGAGACACAGAGGAAGAGATGCAGGAAAGATGAGAGGAAGGTGAGCCGAGTTCAGGCTCTTCAAGAGAAATGAGCGTTTATGATCCAGAAAACCTCCCATGTGCATCCACCAGGACGTATCACATTCACAAGGTCACATCGGGACAAAAATAAACTGTAGGAGTTGTAATAACTTCCACAGACACAATGAGAGGGTGAGCGTGGGCTTGACTCTGTAAAGTACACTTCAGGGCAGTATGGAGCAATATACAGTACATAATATATATATATATATATATATATATATATATATATATATATATATATATATATATATATAAACAGCAAGGAAAAAGGCCTGATGGGAACTACTGTAAACTTTGATGATCATGACAAATAATTCAATGGTTCGTCTCTTGTACTGTAGGATGTATGTGTTTTGACCTGTGAACATACAATGTAACTGTACAATAATGTAACAATTCGGATCACACGTACATATGAATCGGTGACAGAATACAAATGGGCAAATTGATTTAAAGAAATTATCACAAAACAATGACAAATAATTCAATGTAATTCTCTTGTTTCATATCAAGTTACCTCCCAGGCTAAAAATACATACAATAACTTTTGAATGACTAACAAAAAAGCAGCACAACATTTTAATGCACTCTGTAATATTTCAAATTGAATTAAATCCGAAATTCTAAACAAATAAAGAAACATTGAGCATGTTTTGGCTTAATGTCTATTGCGACTTTGGAGATGAATAAATCTACAATTTTCTGAGGTAATTATGAGAAATAATCACGCACAATGTATTCATATGCTGAGAAATCATAATAATAACAAGGCTCTGATATACTGGGCCTGCTGAATCACCTGCAGTCATGTGGTTATATTGATGCCAAACAGGAGGAGTAAAGAGCTAAGCTGCAGTGACGGTGTTTCACATTTATAAACGGCGCAGATCAAAGCAGGATAATGAGTCATTGGTGAATCTGTTGTTGGACCTTTCCTTTCGCTGCCTCATGATACATCCAGGAAAAACCCACACCTGGTACAACGAGAAAAACTAACTGCTTTTTAATCATGTTCATTTTCCCCTCAAAACAAATATATATTCCTTTCTGCGAACACGCACAGCCAATTATAGCATTGCAGTCATGACCAAGCACATTAAAATGATGACCGACTTATGGTGATAGAAACAAAGCCAGTTCAGTGACCAAAACAAAACCGCAGCACGAGAAAATTGACAAAAATATCCTTAATAATTGTCTTAACTAAAACTAAACTAATGCGGTGGCTGAGTGGATAGAAAGAAGTTCCTGGGTTCGAATTCCGATCGGAACAGGGCCTTTCTGAGTGGAGTTTGCATGTTCTCCCTGTGTCTGTGTAGGTTTCCTCCGGGTGCTACGGTTTCCCCTACACTGTAATAAGTGAATCAAAATATTTTAAGTAATTACTATACACTTCATTTTCCACTATTCTATATTTTTGGTTAACAAATAAGTACTGTATAATATTATCATAGCACCCTGTACAATACTGATTTTATTACTTTAAGTGAAAATACTTTATATATTTCTTCTATAAGCCTGGTGGGCCATTAATGACAAAACATACAAAACACAAATATATTGTGTTGATTGAAAACAAAATGTGGCGAAGCAGTGATGCTACCCAGAATGCATTGCAGAGCAAAATATAAACTTCTTAAAAATTCTACATTTGACCATTCATTTTAAGAATGAATATGAAGCAAGTCCTAAAGCTAAATACTTGAGCAACATTTTGAATACACTAAGTTGATCAAATAAGTCATTGTATTTATTTTTACCAACCGCGATCGAGAGGGCCAAGCCAAACTACCGCTGTACTCCCTGGGTTCGTCAGATACTACAAAATGGTCATGATGCTTGCTTACAAACAAGTCTTAAACGGGTTGCAAGCACATTTACTCCCCAGCATGAGAGTTTCAGAGTTCAAAAGCATACAATGTAAGGATTACAAAAACTAACAAACTTTCTCCAGGTGGAAGAAAGTTTCATTTTGAATTAACACAAAAATATTGAGTATATTGATCATCTCCAAGTTAGTTTTGCTTTGAAAGGACACACACATTTTAAGTAAATCCATCACTTCAAAGTAATAGTTTTGCTTTCTGTCAAATTGAATTTAATATTCTTTATTACTTAATAAAGAGCTAAAGTTGATAGTACTCAAAAAGGACGATGGAACCTCTTACAGAATTTTTTTTGTTTCTGATTAAAGCAACACTTTTTACAGTGTACCACTAAAAACATGCACAATAGGTATGAATGCAATGAGTGAGTGAATGGATGGTGTTGGTTGGGGGCTTTGCGTTGTCTTGCTTCCGTCATCACCGTGTGGAGAGAATGGAACATTATCAGAACTCTGAAAGCGCTTAGTCTGTAAAAATGTGTTTACTATTAAATTACTTACTGATGATGTGTAATACTTATAAGACAGAAATGATTGGTCTTTGGTTTTCTGCTTTTATTGCACATGGCTCCTCTGTATTCCCTTGGGGGTGCCTTGGGGTTGAAGCCACTATATTTACAGCTTAGTGTCTTATTACTCGTTTACAACAGGGGCGAAGAGGTCATTGTCTGCAGAACCACTAAGAAGCGCCAATCTCTCCTACTGCCGTACAAGACCAGGACACTGTGTAGAGTTAACAGCTGAATTTGTGGGAGGAGGTTTAATTTAGCATGGTTTTAAAAGTATGTCATAATTTCACAAGGGTTCAGTTCCAATGCAGCACATGCAGTCCATGCAGATCATTAGATTTAGTGTGGAGAAGACGAGACATGTAGGGGCAAAGAGAGACAGGACACTATTCCAAGGCAGTCTCACCACAAAACTATGTGCAACAAAACTTCAAATAAATAATAAAAGGACATACAGGGCAGGAAAAACTATCAAGGAGCAGGGAACAAGTGAGATCCAAGATGTGTGCCCAGTCAACAGCCTGTGGCTCACTGGCACATGCTCGAAGGTGAAGCCCAAGAATTAGCATTTTGACTGAATCCAGTTCTCTTGGTGGCAAGCTACCTCCTTGTGATGTTTTACGCCATTAGAGTGGACAGGTTGTAGTCATTCCTTATGAAAAACTGAAAAATAAAAATAACGTGGAAGAAGCAGCTTTCTCTAATTTTGCTACTTGTAAATGGAACGCCAAGCCTATTGTTGTCAAAGGAGCTGCAACGTCGACCTCATCTAAAAATAAACTAAAGGCTTGTCCTTAGAACAATGAACATTCAATACTTTACTTTAACTGATTACCATTGCAAACATTGTGTGAATTATTAAAATCATGGTATTTGATCAAAATTATGAGTAATAAATGTATAAACATGTATTGTATGTATGCTGTATGAGTAAAAGGGTGTGTTCTATATAACTATGATCAGAATCATTTTTATTGCCACGTACAGTAAGTAACAGGAGGTCACAGACTTGGAAATTGCTTTGGGAGAATAAAAAATAAAGAATAAAAAACACTTCTAAGGAATACATTTAAAATTAAAATTAAAATAGAGTTAAAATTACTATATACAATATACAGTGCACATGGTGCACACAATGATTGTAATCAAGACTAAATAAAAATGTTGTTTCCAGCTGAAGGTGAATATTTGGTCTGTAGTGCATCACTTTATAAAGACGTAATTTGATAATTTTGCGTTTGAGATATATCCTTCCTTGGCAACAATATTAATAAAATATCAATTGCTTTAGCTTCTAAAAAGGTTTAGTCTATAATTCATTCAGTCCCCATGCTCAATGGAGATAAGATTCTTGGCACTGCTGCTATGTTGACTGGCAATTCTGCTTCTCTACAGCCACCCGATCAATGAAGTCATGTGTCCAAGGACAAAAACCTGTTATAAGAGTCACTGTATCTACCTGGAAAATGGTTACTTGGAAAAGAAATCTTCCTCATTGGGGCATCTCTACCACTTGGGTGAAATATGCTTTGCTCAAAATATCCAACTTTTCGGTCTTCCTGCTGTGGGCAAGTTTAAAATACAAAAAAACACTTATTTTGTGTGGCCTATTTTTGGCTGCAATTTCAAAGGAAAAGTCTTATCGTCAACATTTTACCATGACGTGCAAACTCAACCAAATGGTCACGCAAGTTTTCAAATGAAATTATTTGACCCTTAAAATACCTTTTTTGTTGCATCAAGCTACATTTTGTTAAGTCCTCTGTTTTTCTATGTTGAAGATAAAAATTTACCATTGAAAATTGCAGCCAAAAACGGGCCACACAAAATAAATGGGAGTAGATATACAGTATAAGGTACCAGTATTGAGCAAGTGGTGAAAAGGTGGTACTGCACCCTGAACTCCCCCCAGAATAGAGGCACCGCTATTGAGCAAGTGGTGAAAAAGTGTTACTGCACTGTATTTTTTCAAAGAGGTGTCATTTTGAATGTGTAATGAGTTAGCCTCTGCCTGGTGCTTCACAGTTATCTAAAGTGATTTATTGATCAGCGTTTATCGTAGCACATGTCTGGCTCACACCGAGCTTATTCTTAAACAAACAGTGATGCCCTAGTTAAGGGAAGACGCGTTAATAGCTAATCATGCTGAACGGGTGGTAGGATGGACCTGCTCCAGCCTATCAAGGTAGAACAAACAGTGTAAACGAATCATGATGAAGGGTTGGAGGGAGGATGGACCTACTACGTCCAATCAGGGTGATACATGTAGTACCATGTGGTGAAAAGGTGGTATGGCGCCCTATTTTCCAATAGGTAACACTTGAGTGAAGCAGATCCCTTTCTCAAACTATGGGTCTCCCTGAGGTTTCGCACTTTTTTTTTCATATGAGTTTTTCATTGCTGATGCAGGATGGGTTTGTTGCACAGTTAGTGAGAAACTAGAAGGACTGTGGTGATGATCCAGGACACTTTAATATTCTACAACATGTATGGGCATGTGGTCTATATTCTTTATGTGTTTTTAACTGTTGATTCTACGATCTGTGTTGGTGATTTTCAGTAGTTTTTTTGGTAAGTCCTCTGAGATGACGCCAGTTGTGATTTAGGGCTATACAGATTCAGATTCATTCAGATTCAGATTCAGATTCAGATTCATTTATTTCGCCATTTGCAGTATGTATACACCACATTGGAATACATTTGTAAAAGTTCCCAGTGTGCACAGGACAAGTACAGACACAAAACAACATTAAAAGACAAAAATAAAACAAATTTTAAAAACAGTAAACAAATGTAAACAAATGTCACCGTGAAGTTGACCAACTTAAAACAGATCTGTACGAGTGCAAAAAACATTAAAGTGCTCTATTCAACTGTTAACAGCTCGTGGAAAAAAACTGTTTGCATAACGAGATGTCCTGCATCTCAGGGAACAGTATCTTCTGCCAGAGGGAAGAAGCTGGAACAAGGCTTTTCCTGGGTGGCCAGAAGAGTCATTGATAATTCTCAGGGCACTGTTAAAAAGTCTGGATTGATAAAGAGCCTCCAGGACAGGAAGTTCACAGCCCACAGTCCTCTTAGCAGAGCGGAGCACCTTGTTTAAAGCTCTCTTTTCTTTATCTGTGATGTTACCGAACCACACAGACACAGAACCAACAAGTAAACTCTCAATGGTGCAGCGATAAAAGTTCAGCAGAATCTTAGAGTTAGTGGTAAATTCTCTAAGTTTCCGCAGGAAGTAGAGACGCTGACGGGCTTTCTTTACGACCCGGTCAGTGTTTTTAACCCATTTCAGGTCATTAGACAGAGTTAGACCCAGAAACTTACACTCCTCTACAATCTGCACTTGGGAGTTATCGATTGCGACAGGCAAATGAGAACTATTGCGACTGAAATCAAAGACCAGTTCGCATGTTTTGGATGCGTTCAGCTGGAGGTTGTTAGCCTTACTCCACTGAACCACGTTTTGGATCTCGGCTCTATAAGACGATTCATCGTTATTACTGATGAGACCGATGATGGTGGTGTCATCAGCATATTTGATGATCAGGTTAGAGTCTGAGGAAGACACACAATCATGAGTGTACAGTGTAAAAAGTAAAGGACTCAAAATACATCCCTGAGGAGAACCAGTGCTCACAGAAACAACATCTGAAAAACAGTCATTGATTTTCACTCTCTGAGATCTGTCAGTTAAAAAGCTAAAAATCCATTTACACATGGCAACACTTAAGCCGAGAGACATGAGCTTTTCAATCAGTTTACCTGGGACAAGACAATTAAAAGCAGAGCTATAATCAATGAACAGCATTCTTGCAACAGATTTCCTATTGTCCAAGTGACTGTAGACAGAGTTCAGAGCAAAGGAGATGGCATCCTCCACACTCCTATTCTGTCTGTAAGCAAACTGGAGCGGGTCAACACTCACAGGGATCTGGCTCTTAATGAAGTCCAGCACAAGCCGCTCAAAAGTCTTCATTAGGACAGAAGTGAGGGCCACAGGACGATAGTCATTAAGGCATGTCACAGGAGTTTTCTTAGGAATTGGGATAATGGTCGACTCTTTGAAGCAGTTCGGCACAGCACAGTCCCTTAGCGACAGGTTAAAAATGTCTGTTAAAACAGGGGCAAGTTGCTCAGAGCACAGTTTCAGGACACGAGGAGGGATGCCGTCCGGGCCTGGGGCTTTCCGGACAATGGTGCTGGACAAGACCCGCTGGACTGCCTCCTGAGTCACGGTGAACGCCCCTTGATTGAGGCAATCAGGAAAGACAGTAGGACAGGCATCAGCAGATTCGAAGCGGCAGTAGAACGTGTTCAGCTCATTAGGCAGAGCTGGGCCAACAGATCCGATTTTCCCAGCACTAGGTTTCCAGGACGTGATGGCTTTAATACCGCTCCACATGCGCCGAGGGTCATCTTCCTTGAAATAACCCTTTAACCTGTCCCCGTAACTGCGCTTTGCAGATTTAATAGAACGTTTCAATGCATAACAGGATAGCTTATAGGCGACTGTATCGTTAGATTGGAACGCCAGAGCACGCTCATGAAGTTTTTGTTTCACTTCCGCGTTCATCCAAGGGTTTTGACTGAGATGTACTTTAATGACCTTCTGTGGGACACAGCAGTCAATACAGAAGCGTATGTATCCAGTCACAGCGTCACAGAATTCATTAACATCCTCTGATTGAAACACAGACCAGTCAGTGGCATCAAAACACCCTTGTAGCTTCATGCCAGCCTCCTCAGACCAACACTGCACAGTGCGTGAGGTTGGTTTATGTTCCCTGCTCCTCTGAGTGTATGAGGGAAGAAGGAGAACAGAGGTGTGGTCGGACTTTCCAAATGGAGGTCTGAGACTGGACCTGTAAGCTCCGTTCACATTGCTGTAGCAGTGATCCAGGATCTGTGCTCCTCTTGTAGCTCGAGTCACATGTTGGTAGAAATTTGGGAGTACAGTCTTTAAATTACATTTGTTAAAATCCCCAGCGACAATAATCACTGCATTAGGATGAGCAGTCTCGTATTTATGAAGGATCTCGCTCAGATCCTGTAGTGCTACAGTATAGTCCGCTCGTGGGTGGATGTAAACAGCACAGAAAAATATCACAGAAAACTCCCGCGGAAGATAAAAAGGGCGACAGCTCAAGACCAGGCATTCCAGATTGGCAGTACATGTTTGGTTCACGATTCGAGTATCCGTGCACCAGCGCTGATTAATTAAAAAGCACACACCTCCACCTCTGGATTTCCCCGTGGTCTCCTTATCTCTGTCCGCGCGGTGAACGGTGAATCCCGGGGGCTGAACAGCAGAGTCCGGGACGCCTGGATGGAGCCACGTCTCGCTGAGGCAGAACACAGCGCAGTCTCGGGCCTCTCGCTGGCTCTGGACCTGACACAGAAGCTCGTCCGTCTTGTTGGGCAGAGACTGGACGTTGGCCAGGTAGATGGAGGGCAAAGGGGTCCTGGAGGAGCGGCTACGAACGAGCAGACCGCCTTGTTTTCCCCGGTGTCTGCGCCTCCTGCGTCGGCTCCCGGTACCCTGCTCCACACCGCGGAGAGCACGCCGGAGACGCCCAGTCCCCCCGCTCTGTTCGCGGCCATTGCCGCGGCCCGCCTGCCATGTCTGACGGGCCTCACGAGTGGGGCACTCAATAAAGTCCAAGCACCTCAGTTCGGGTAAGACCTGCGATACTCCACAAGCTTGGTCCCGAATGTAGAGAAGTGTCTCCCGGTCGTACTTCACGGTGGCAAGTGTATCACAGACGAAAAACAACATAGAACAGACAGTGCACACCAGAGCTCTTACTGAGGCGCCCTGACCCGGCGCCATCTTGCTCATCTTCGGGCCAAGCCGGTGGACGACATCCACATGTTCATGTGGATGCGGCGGCACGGTGGCTGAGTGGATAGCACTCTTGCCTCTCAGCAAGAAGGTCCTGGGTTCGAATCCCGGTTGAACCAGGGCCTTTCTGAGTGGAGTTTGCATGTTCTCCCCGTGTCTGCGTAGGTTTCCTCCGGGTGCTCCGGTTTCCCCTACCACTAAAAATATGTACAATAGATCTGGCATGTGCCTCCTGTACTGGCACCCCCACTCCCAAAAATAACAATTGTAAACCGCTTTGAGACTCCGATGTGCAGTGAAAAGCGGTATATAAATAAAGATTACTACTTACTACTACTACTTCATCCATCTTATCAGCCCAGTGCGGAGCAATTTTCTTCAAAAGTTCGATGACTTTGTGTCGAGTGTCTTCGTTCATAACTTCTTTCATGCCTTTGATTTTGAGGTTCCATCTTCTTTTGTAATTATCATGTTCTCTGCATTTTTCTTTCAGTGCAGCAATTTCAACCTTTAAGCTGGTAATTTCGTTCTCCACATGGGTTGTCCTTACTTTGCAATCTTTGATTTCTGCTGATCCACAGGTAATACTAATCCCGTGCGAGTAAACAAACTTGTTTCACTTCCGGGTAATCGATTGACGCCGAAATGTATTAAATAAATAATTAAAAAAAGGTTAATTATTGCATATTCTAGTTCCCAAATCCGGTTATTATAATGCATATATATGTATATATATATATATATATATATATATATATATATATATATATATAGGTATATATATATATATATATATATATATAGGTATATATATATATATATACCTATATAAATACCTAAATAATATACCTAAATTATATAATAATATATTATATAATTATATAATTATATAAAATATACCTAAATTATATAATAATATAATATTATATAGGTATATATATATATATAGGTATATATATATATATATACCTATATAAATACCTAAATATATAATATATATAATATATATATATATTATATATATATAATATATATATATATTATATATATATATATAATACCTAAATATATACCGAGGTATATATTTATATATATATATATATATATATATATATATATATATATATATATATATATATATATATATATATATATATATAATATATACCTCGGCCCCCTTTCCTCAAACATCACTGCCTCCGCCCGTAACCTTGGTGTCATTTTTGATTCTCACCTCACCTTCCGCTCCCACATCAATAAAACCACTCAAACCTACTTCTATCACCTCCGCACAATCTCAAAGATTAAAAACATCCTCACTCCTCCTGATCTCCATAAAGTTGTCAACGCCCTCATCTTCTCCCGCCTCGACTACTGCAACTCCCTCCTCTCCAATCTCGACGCTAAATCCCTCTCCCGCCTCCAACTGGTCCAGAACGCAGCAGCCAGACTTCTCACTGGTTTTAACAGAAGGGAGCACATCACCCCTGTTTTAGCGTCTCTTCACTGGCTCCCTGTGCGTTTTAGAATTGATTTTAAGATTTTACTGATTACTTTTAAAGCTTGTTTAGGTCTGGCACCAAGCTATATTTCTGAACTTTTAACCCCCTACGAGCCCCCCCGCAGCCTTAGATCCTCGGGCAGGTCCCTGTTGACTGTTCCAAGGTCGAGGCTCCGGACGAAAGGTGACCGAGCCTTCTCTGTCCGGGCTCCTCGGCTTTGGAACGACCTGCCCGAGGAGATAAGGCTAGCACCATCAGTATCCTCTTTTAAATCTCTTCTTAAAACCCACTTTTATCAAACAGCTTTTAACTGTTAGTTTTAAACTTCACATGCTGTATTTTATTGTCTGCTTTGTCTTTGTTGAGTCTCTTTTGTGTTTTGCTCTGTTTGCTTTGTGTTTCTGTATCTAATTATTTTGACCTTGCATTATGACTGTTTTTATTGTTTATCATGCTGACTGTGCAGCGCTTTGTAAACACTGTTTTTAAAAGTGCTATACAAATAAAGATTATTATTATTATTATTATATATGTCTTATAAGCAATGAAAAAAAACAGAATGGTCACTTTTGTATATTGCTGTGTGCCTGAAAATGCAAAATAGCCTTTTTTCTATTTTACATTTCCATTCAAAAATAGAAAATGTATTGAACGCAAAAGTACACGGACCCCAAAGCATAGACGAGTGTGAAACTGATGTAGACGATTGTGTGTGGAGTAATTAGGACCAGGTCTGTTGTAGACTGGGTTTTGGACCAGGCCATGACCTGAGCAGACAGCACTGCACTGACTTTTGGATGAAGAATATTTATATTAAGTAAAGTTGGCTTAATTGTGTAAAAAATGTGTTCTATGTACACTTTGTTTGGCTGTTTCAAATTGTTTTCATACTACTTACTGTAACACCCCTCTAGACATGCCTTTTACAGCCATTCTTCTTCAATGCTGTATTATATAAGCTGTGTGTGTGAGAATGGACTGAATGTGTGCGGTTTGTAAATATCCAATGCTCTATTTGAATGTGTATTACGGTCATGAACGAGCATGTGATCGTGTAAGACCCTTCCCTCCGAGCTCAAGACTTTTTTCTATTTGTTCAATGATGTTTATTGCAATAGTGTTTTGCTCTGTGGTTTTATGTGGTGATCTGTGTATGCATTTGTATTCATGAAAAGTCAGTGACATAAATGGCATTTGAAATTGTGGTCTTTGTGTCTTTCACTCACACACAATGCATTACTGTTGCTTCCATGTTTATTTACTGGGTCTTTTTAATCTGAGGTTTTTACTTAGAGCTCCACTTAGAAAAAACACAAAAAACAGAATTATGTAATGTAATTGTATAGTTCTTGACTTTGAAAACGTTTGACTTGTTATTACCAGTTCTCTCATGTAGTTTTGGCATTTCACATCTTTTGAACTAGCTTTTTCAGACAGAAAAGAGAAAAAGAGCCACCCTCACTCAACCAATCCTCTCAGCCCAAAGCATCTTGAACATTTATCATTACAGAACAGAAACTTTACAGCAAAAAGACTGAAGCTATCTTTATTATGCCTATTACCTTTAAACTAGAGTCATTAGTTTAAGTGAATGAATACACTAGAGCAGTGGTTCTTAACAAAATGAGATTTATTTTTTTCAAGACATGGAGGTTTTTTACTTGTGCAGAAAATGAGCTGTGCATGAACATAAGATAAACTTTATTGATCTCACGTCACCATCATCAGAACAAAATCAAAACAATGCATGAACTCACAACAAATGACATACCTGCAAATCAGTGTGACTTCTTGTTGCCTTTGAGAGACCAGTTCAGATATGTGTGGCTTTACCTGGCTGCCACTTTTATATCATTTTCACAGCAAAGTCTGTTCCTTTTCTTGGGTTTTATGTCGAGCATATCCGAAAAGGATTATTCGCAAAGATATGTAGTAAAAAATGGTAATGAAACAATCCCAGGCTTTGCTGCTCAAACTCGCTTGTAACACTGACATCTACTGGACAAATATAATCACTGCAGCTTCTGATTCAATACTTGATTCATGTAGTTTCAACATCATACCGTTTCATCTTCGCACATAACTATAACAAGAGATCTTCCAACTTTTAAGAAACCCTTGAATTGAATACAAGTTTGTTTTACATCTAAAACAATTTACAGAAACAAAGGAACTGCGCTTTATGCAGATCACAGGCTTTTATTCAAGTGTTGGCAGTTTCAGTCGGCTTCTTGTTTGGCATCACAAAACATCCTTTGAGACAACACCTTGTTTGGTTGAATAAAATCATGATCCTAAACCATGGATTTCCGTTTTCCACACAAAGTCACCAACACTGTACAACACTGTCTCCTCACTACACAAGTAGTTTCAGGAGCATTTATAAAACTATGTTTAGGATTGACTCCAGACTCAAAATGCATGAGTAACGGCTGAGTAATGAGCCTCAGCAACTATATGCAAGATTAACTTCTGCAGTGTCTGCTTCATGTATATGAGGAAGACGTGAAGCAGGTTCAAGAAGATGAAGATGTCTCATAGTCGCAGTTAGTGGTGTTGCACAGTGATAGGAGGCGCAGTAGAAATAATCAAACGCACAATCCGTGCACTAATCTGACTTTTCAGCAGGTGTGCGCAACAAGATTTACTGATCTAAAAGTATTCGTTGCTGATTTGTCCGCACTTCTGACATCTCATGCGCTTCCCAGACCCGCGGCCACTTGCTGGAATGTCAAAAACAGTGACACCGGGTTGAAAACAATAAGTAAAACATGTGCTTTAGCCACCAATAACAGGAGTGTGGCAAACGCATGGGCAAAAGTGATGTTGTTAAATAACATATATAGCCGACGCAGCTGCGTAATTTCCATAGCAACGCTAAGTGTATAAATGTAGGTGCCAGGCGTCAAGACGTCACTCTGACTTTGACCGAGCCAGGGATTGCAGAGCTTTGAGCTTCAGCAGGTGCCAATACTTTCATTACGTTTTACATCAACAATATCGACCCAAGCTTAGTGGGACAGTCACTATTCATAGAATTAACCCTGTTGTGTTGATTATTTTACACTTTGCCAGATTTACAAACGACTACCAAACTTTTGAGCAAGCATCAACATGGACAACCATCGGGGCCAAGGTAAACTCTTTTAACATATTAATTGTCATATTTCACTAAAACATCAGAATAAATGTATGGGAAGAGTGGATGTTTTCACATAATGTGGATAACTAATCAAGAAGACAATGTTTCTACGTTGTAAAATTATGGCTGCATTAACTGCATATTGCACAAATCTAGACATTTCAGACGACGATTTAAGGATGAATTAATGGCTA